AAAGTCCGCCCGTGTCCTCTCCCCCGGGTCCACCCATTGCCTCTCCCCGGTCCACCCGATGTGCCTTTTCCCCGGGGATCCAGCCCTTGCCTCGCCCATCTGCCCGATGTCCTTGCCCCGATCCACCCATGTGCCTCTCCCGGCCCCGCCCGAGGGCCCTCTGCCGGATCCACCCGATGTGCCTCTGCCCGACCCCAGCCCGAGTGCCTCTCCCCGGTGGGGGCCGCCGGGTGTGCCTCCCCGGGGATCCAGCCCGATGGCCTCTCCCCGGTTACCCTGCCCGGATCCTGCCCGTGGCCATCTTTGATATCCCCCATTACAAAACCCGGGGCGGTGGAACTTTTTTCCTCCCAGCTAGGACTGTTTGGAGCGTCCCTGATCCGCTCCGTTGAAGGGGGGGGGGTACTGTCAGGAAATGGACCTGGCCAGCAATGGTGGGACTCACCTGCTTTTGATCTGCAGTAACCAGGGCTGGCCAGCGGGTGCTCCCAGCAATCAGAGACTCAAACCTTTCAGCTCACTAACACCTGGAACTGATGATACATGGTGTATTTAAGGGATGGGCCAGACCCACAGACTCCGCCTTGGTGTGTGTTTGTCCTGGGCCCTGTATCTGTCCTGCATCCCCTGTTTCTGTTCCTTTGCTACTGTTCTGATCCCTAGGCTTGTGACCCTGACCATCCCTCTGCCTTACCCTCTGTATACTACTAACGCTGCTTTGCTACCTGTTCTGATCCCAGGCTTGTGACCCTGACCATACCCTCTGCCTTACCCTCTGTACTACGCTGCTTGCTACCTGTTTTCTGATCCCTGGCTTGTGACGTGAACCTGACCTTTCTCCCGCTTGCTTCCGCCTGTACCTAACCTGCCCAAATTGATATTGACTCGGCCTCCTGACGACGCTTGCTTGTATGTTACTGTTATCTGTGGGTGGTTGGTTGGGTTTGTTTGCACTGTATTATGTTTAGTATTGCACTACTTTATGTTTGTATTGTTAGTGTTAATAAATTACATTGTTAATCACATATCTGAAGTCTGCGTTTCCCTGCTTCAGTCCACACATCTCTGGTCATACCTGGGAGCCCTGACAGCTATCTTCTTATAGCCTTCTCCAGCTTTGTGAGCGTCAGCTATTTTCAGTTTTCTAGACAACTGCTTAGAAAGAACCCATGGTGCTGATTGTTGGGGCAAGGTCAGATGAGTCTGGGCATTTAAAACCTTTGAGATTGACATCACCTGGTCTTCCCAGACGATGATTGAGAACAATCCATGACACACTGGCAGGTCTCAGCTTTGCAAAGGGGCAGTGCATGCTATAAATTCTGCAGGGTGCCCAAACTTTTGCAGACGCCATTTTTTTTGTTTTCTGTTATTTTGAAAGTGTAAATGATGGAAATAAAATCTAACTTTTGTTGACATATTTATAAGAATGTCTAATCTGTAATTTGATGCCTTTTGGAGATTTTTCCATCTTTCCTTGTCTTCTTTATGCACATTAATACAAATATTTTTTAGCTGGGGTGCCCCAAACTTTCGATCCCCACTGTACTTATCAGATAAAATGTATGGTGGCAGGTTTAAATGACCAATTTCCTTCTTTTAACAACTCCTAGAGAATTTGCTGGAGAGATCTGTGCATCCCACCCACCTTCTGTGGCCAACTTCTTTTACTTTATATTTAGGGAGAATACAGGAGGAGTGAGACTGGATCAATGGAGTGCTGAGCCAACATCTGCAGATAGGATATACAGTATAGAGACTAGTGATGAATTAAGTGCATTTAGCAATTAATAACTGAAATACACACTATATATTCTTTAACCCTGCATATATGAACACTCCCAGCCACAATGATAGAGTTAACTGAACTGTAAACACTGGCCAACATAGTGTTAAGAACCCCCATTGTAGAATCTGACATGGATCCAAGGAAAGGACAGAATTTCATATTTGAACAAGGGCAGAAGCTAGTGAAGTGTCAGCATCTGGTTACATAGAGTGCTACATTGACTCATCTTTCAGGATACAAGAGCGTGGGAAGGACAAACAATCCCACAATACGGCCTTTATTATTGGGACCTACTCCACTCGTGAAGAGCTGGGGCTTGTGGCTGCGTCCAGCACTACCTTGGATTTTTCATTCACTTCAGCAGAATCTGTTCTATCGCAATAGCATGTTACTAGATAGACATGTCCCTTACATGGATCCCCATATCACCTACATTGCATAAGATATACAGTACTCAATTGCAGAGCCAAATAGCTGCTATTCAGAACTCCTTGAAAGCCCTGAATATGGACAAGATGTAGCTTAGTGGCTCATTACACTTGAATGAATTCCTGTATTCATGGAACGCCTTATCATTTATAGTTAATGCGGTGCGAAACCCAAAAACTAAAATGTATTATATTGCAGCAGCTTACCAGTTTTTAGATGTAGTTTTTTTGGGGGACTTTTATTCCTTTATTTTTATTTGCTATTTTTCATCTTCCTCTAATAGACCAATCTGTGCAACCAAAGTGGCAGTTAGTGTGTTGAAAAAAACTATGTAACAGCACTTACAGTGGTCAGCTGTTTATGTAAATGGTCAACTTTTGTGAAAAACATAGAAACATATAAAAGTGATGGCAGAAAAAAGACCAATTGGTCCCTTGAGCCTGACCATTTTTTTTTTCTTTCGTTAACTTTTTTAACTGAGTATAGATCTATGTTTGTCCCAAACATTTGAAACCATTTACTGTTGACTGACTTACTACCTCTGCTGGAAGTGTTTTCCAACATCAACTATTCGTTCAGTAAAATATACTTTCTAAGATTAGTTTTGAATTTTCCTCCAGTTAGTTTGAGGTCATGTCCCCATGTTCTTGATCTTGGCTTCATATGGAAAGTACTGCCCTCTTGAACCTAATTGACCCCCTTGATGTAGTTATAGGTTTCGGTCTTGTCTCCTCCTTCTCTTCTTTTCTCCGGACTGTACATATTAAATTTCCGAAGTCTCTCTTGATATGTTTTATCCCTCAGACTTTTCACCATTTTTGTCACCCGTCTCTGAACTCATTCTATCTGATCAATATCGTTTTTTGTAAGTGAGGTCTCCAGAACTGGACACAGTATTCTAAATGAGGTTTCACTAAAGATTTACAATATATAGGGGCATGCTCTACTCAATTGATCGACTTCTGTACAACCAACCTACCCATACGTGGATCAAAATTTGTCCAGTTCCTGCTGAACCGGCTGAATTTTGATCTATGTGTGGCCGGCTTTAATTTCTAATTCATCTACCATTATCCTCCCCCCAGACTGACAGTGCTGCTGTCCAAAGGTGTCTCTGCTGCATCTCCATCCAGGGTGTAGACACCCTAATACAGAAAGTGTGTTACTGGCTGGATCACCAGATGAAAATAAAGCCTGAAAATACTGCCATCAAATTTAAGGATTGTTACGTCGTAGTATAAATTTTAATAGGGCACGAGGACCTTGAGCTTCCTCCATACTTACCTTCTCTCCCTTGGAACCTGGGGATACTTTGAAATTACATTTGAATATATTCTCTGTATCCCTCATATTTTCACAATGTAACCTTAATGAAAGGCAACTTAAAGTTGAAGTAAAAGCAAACTTTTTTTCATTTTGGATGGAGCAAGGGACCCCTGTTAAACTTTTTTTTTTTGCTATCTACATAATGGTCCATTGGGGAGATTTCCATTCACATACTGTCATATAGTCACATCTGAAAGCAAGAGGAAATCCCTTCAAAGTGAGAGATTCCCTAGTTGTCAGCAGAAAAAGTGTCCCCATTGGAAGGTTTCACTCTATTCTTATCCTTTCAGTCTTGGGGATAATAATAAACAGGGCAAATAGAGAGTGCAAGTCTCCCTAATGGGGGCATAGACAGCAATAACAGGTGTTCTGATCCCTCTCCACTCCATCCAAATCTAAAAATAAATGTTTGCCTCTTTTGTTTTTCCTTTAAGAAATCTTATTGGTTGGACTGTGTTGTATTTTTTTCTCTGCAAAATATAATACAATTTAAAATGTTTTATTAAATTTAGACATGCTGTATTGATGTCACTTCCTGCATACCATGTTGCTGTTATCTTTTTCATAAACAATTATCATGTAGCCAGGAAATGCCCTTACAGGAATACTTCACCATTAACTCCATTTTCCAAATCTATATTATTCCCCAGATATCCTTACAAAGTTGTCACCAGAACAGGAAGTGAGAAAATCCCCTGAATGGGGCCACATACAACAAAAAACCTGATGAGGTTCTAACCTTTCCTTCTGGGTATTAGCATTATACCAATGCTAATAGTAGTTACTTGTTAAATATTAATAGCTACACTACAGTTTTGATAGCCAGCACTCCTCGATTTGGCACATTTCACCGGACCTGAACTTTTTATGACATTCCTGTAGCTGGTAATAGATTGTGACTCACTTTACTTTGAAGAAATGTGCTGTCTTCACCTACCGCGTGTTTCTCATTTCAGGAGTTCCATCCGTCATTGGAAAGCTTCCCCGTGCTATATCCTCAATGGGATGCTAACGGCCAACAAGCTGCACCACAGCAGAGGGCGGAATCAAATTTTCCAGCATTGTTCTCTGACGACCTGACAGATCCTGCACATCTCGGGTAATTATTGCAGGGCATCGTTTACAATGGACATTGTGTTTGACAAGTGTTTTACTTTGATAGACTGTATTTTTTAACAAACCTCCTCAATTCAGTAGAAAAATAGAAAGGCTTCATCACTGTGAGACTCTTGCTAATGTCCACATGCTGATTATGTCACATGGCAGTCTGAACTGCATCCAGTCAGGTGATGAAAGAATACTTTTTTCACTTTCAGCTGAACTCCAGGCAGAAGCTTTCATTTAAAGTGTTACTACAGGAATTTTTTTTCTTATTAAAATAATAAACATGTTATATTCACCTGCTGTGTACAATGGTACTGCACAGAGCGGCACCAAACCTCCTCTTCTAGGGTATCCTGTTGGCTATCTTCGGTCCTCCTCTGCTCCGTATGCCCCCATAGCAAGCCGCTTGCTATGGGGGCACACAATGCGTGCTCTCTCCCAAGCCATGTTTATCTATGGAGCCATGCTCTATGGACATACAGTACACAGCACAGCTTGGCTCAGCACAGTATTTGCTTGACAGCAGCAAGAGCTGTATTTTGCTGACTATACCCAGTGAAGTGACTGGTCGCACAAATCCTCCTCTATCTTGTTGCATCTTGTTATCTGCAGTCTTCTCTTCTCTACATCTGTTCAAAGTCCAAGATGAATAAAGCTTGTCTGAGAGTTCAGGAAACGGGGCGGAGAGCTGAATGTATACACTGCAGAGTTCAGTAAGGAGAACTCTGAGAGCTGATTGGAGGGGAGGGACACCCCCCCTCCACCACACACACTCACAGAAACAGAGCTAAAGCTGTCAATCTGTTGGAGCTCCCTCCCCTGTCACCATATTTCTCTTGGTGTCAGGAAATTTTGTCAGGAGTGATTCATGATGATAGAAGTGGAACAGGGCAGCAGAGAGAAATGACACTTAGTGCTCTGGATTGAAACTAGTACACACTATAGAGGGATATGCTTTGTTCATATTTCATGTCTGAGGTTTACAACCACTTTAAGTAATGATCCTAATGAGCACCATTATGCTAATAATCCAGGGGTGAACATACACCATTTAACACAGAGTACTGCCCCGGAAAATACAAAAACAATTACAAGGGATCACTCTATATTCCTTTGAATTCTCCATGTTCTTGTATCTGCTGTTTGTGAGGTCATGATCATCTCTATTTTGACACCTTGTGGAGGCCCCAGCCAGTCTATAGGTGACAGGGCCTTGTAATCTGTGTTACATGGAATGTACTAGTAATGATTCCAGTGTTGTTTCAGGCTGAACCCCTATTTCCCTGTTTTCAGCGATGTCTCTTCTTTCCCAGGAGCGGTGACGTCTCGCGGCAGCGTGGAGTTTGGGAGGAAGGACAGCTGCTTCCTGCCCTTCCGCAGACTGAACTTTATATAGAGAGACAAGAATATAAAGAATCTGGGAGCAGCTCACAGCCTGGCACCATCAGGTATCATTATTATATGCTTGGCTCTCGGGTGACTTGGATTTCTCCCATTTAACAGCTGTGAGTGTGGAATGAACTGTTCAGAGTGGAAAAGCGGCTTCTATTATTTATTATCACAGACCTGAGTATTTAGCCTGAGCTTGTCCTCTTGCTTAGTGCATGCTGCGCATGCTTGCAGTGAGTCTGCTTCTGGGTGTAACGTCATGCTAAGCAGTCATGTACAAACCTGTGGAATTCCTTCTCAGCTCTCAGCGTCATTAATCCAGGATTATTGCCAAATGCAGTATACCATTCTTCTACATATTTATTACTCACAATTGTGGTTACATTGGTCAGTTTATTGTAGTAGAATCATACAAGGAACAATAACAAACTAATACAATTCCAATTGGCTACAGTCAGTGAATTGTGGATTTTGATTGGTTCCTGCATGGTGCAGCATATTGCCCATTATTCTTCTCCTTAAAGTGTTACTAAACCCACAACAGTAAAATCAGTCTGTATATACAGTAAAGCATGCTTGTTTATACTCACTGTGGAACCTAAGGGGTTAATCCTCTGCTTTGTGTAAAAAGGCTGTTTGATCCTGACTTCTATGCCCCTCCTCTTGTTCAAATGTCCTTGCTGATAAGACAGATTGAACCCATAGCCCTTCTGCACATGCTCAGTTTAGTGTGTATTGTTAGGTTTTTTTTTTTTCTTGGGAGAGTGCATGTGATCAGCACAGTTTTTTTTTTCTTGGGAGAGTACATGTGATCAGCACATGGCCAATCAGCACTGCCCAGACAGAGGTCAGGGATTTTGCATTCTCCTAGAGCAAAAGAAAACTCCTCCTACAAGCTTTAACCAGTGCTCTGCTGAAGTCACAAGACTTCTCTAACTGCTGATGAGAAAAGGTATTTAGCAGTTTATAGTTGATAAAATAATTGCATTTCCTTGTTCTGTGTACTGTGGGAGACAAGATATAGTGAATGCAGGGTCCTGGGTTTAGTGACACTTTAACTGGACGGGTTTAGTCTCTGTACCCCTTAGGCCATCGGTCATTATCCATTACTACTGATGTCAAATGTTTTTGCAAGATATACATATTCTGTATATTCCAAGCCTCTGGAATTTTGATGTCAGAGGTGGACTTTCCACAAAATCTGGCCTGCTTATTGAGTTGCCTTTGGCCAGGCTATGAATTTTTAAATATTTAGATATGCTTAAAAGTAGTAAGTGAACTTTAAAGCAATCCCTTAGGGCTTGTTTATACTTGCGTTGTTCTGTGAACAGTGATCCACAGTGGATCGCTTTTCACAGCACGGTATAGGAGCAGATTACAGGGATTCAGGTGGCGATATTGCCGCCTCTTGAATGCCTTATTTTTGGACAGCTGACCGACCTCTTTGAATAAGAATACAATGCTGCAATAGTAAACCTAGCATTTGCCGCTTGGGTACGGTGCTGCCCCATGCATTTGAATGGGTTTCATTAGGCAGTGGTATTGCCTAGAACACACCACAAGAGGGATCATTTTTTCCATGCCTTGTAACAAAGCATGGGGGCCACAGCATGTGTAAAACCCTGTCTGGCTGCCTATTTTTACCAACTCCAACTGCAAGTGTAAACTAAGCCGTACTGACCTCTGTAACTACAAGTACTGTAAAGAGATTCATTGTTAAAGGTCTCAGCAGAGATTATTGAAGTTATTCTAGAAGAAGCTCAGCTCACCCTGCTCCCCTTCCCAGCAGTGACTCCACAGCCTTCTAGCTCTCTAATCTCTCATGTACACAGAGAGCTTTGGAAAGGGGAGAGTGGGTTGAGCAGCTGCAAAATGATTTCATTAGGCCGTACAGACATCTACCACATGCAATTTACAGTAATTTAGAACAAGCAGTTCATCATTGTTCTGTTCATGCTGCAGTAAACTGAAATCAACATGTCACCGCCTTTTACATACATGTACAGAATAATCAGGTCCAGGGGCGGACTGACCATTTGGAAACTCGAGCACTGCCCGAGGGCCCGGGGTCAGTAGGGGGCCCCATGAGATGCCCCTGGTACCTTTTTGATAGGCTTTTTTTTGAGTTTGGGCAAGGCCACAGGGGCCCCATGATCCCCTATTGCCCGGGGGTCAGTAGGGGGCCCCATGAGATGCCCCTGGTACCTTTTTCATAGGCTTTTTTGAGTTTGGGCAAGGACACAGGGGCCCCATGATCCCCTATTGCCCGAGGGGTCAGTAGGGGGCCCTATGAGATGCCCCTGGTACCTTTTTCATAGGCTTTTTTGAGTTTGGGCAAGGACATAGGGGCCCCATGATCCCCTATTGCCCAGGGGCCCCATGAGTTGTCAGTCCACCCCTGATCAGGTCAGTCCCCCCATGTTTCTATACTTTCTGCAGTGCTGTAGATACAGATCTATGATTGTGAGCTGCTCCCAAGAAACATCCACATGGATTTCTGTAAAAAAAAATGCAGAGTTTATAATGCTTGTATGATAATAAGCATGCAAAATGAATTTGTAAAGCAATAGCTGGTGACTTTATTGAAGTATTTGCAATAGAACTAATTCATTTCTGCTGCTTGAGGTCCCCTGTGTTGAGGTTGGAGAGTTTGTACATTCTTTGCATGCTGATCTAACAGGGTGACTTGGAAATCTCCCTTTGGTTGCTGTGCTTGCCTTGATTTCATCTGTTTGGCTGGGGTCCGTTGCTGTCATCCTTTTCTTCCTGTTGGCAGTGTCCTCTGTTTACAGGTTATATCTGTATGTCATGGGTAACTGGATATCATTTCACACATACAGTACAAATACATGAACCTCCCATTTCATGCATTGATTATTTGTTTATAAACAAGTAAGTATATTTAACCACTTGCCCTCCAGAGGATTTACCCCCCTTCCTGATCAGGCCATTTTTTGCGTTACGGCGCTGCGTTACTTTAACTGACAATTGCGCGGTCATGCAACACTGCACCTAAATGAAATTTACATCCTTTTTCCCCACGAATAGAGCTTTATTTCGCTGGCATATGATTGCCTGTGCGGTTTTTATTTTTTGCGCTATAAAAAAAAAAAGACTGACAATTTAGAGAAAAAAAAAACCAACATTTTTGACTTTCTGCTATTAAACATGTCAAGTAAAAAAATGTAAAAAAATCAAATTTCGTCATACATTTAGGCCAAAATGTATTCTGCGACATGTCTTTGCTAAAAAAAAATCCCAATACATGTAAATTAATTGGTTTACGTGAAAGTTATAGCGTTTACAAATGGATTGTATAGATACTGGGATTTTTTATTTTTACTAGTAATGGCGGCAGTTAGCGACTTATAGCGGGACTGCAGTGGACTTTCTGACACTGGGGGGAACTGACTTGGTGTCATTGACATCCCCAGTGACACCAATACAGTGATCAGTGCTAATAAAAAGCACTGACATTGTACTAATGGCACTGGGCAAGAAGGGGTTAACCTGAGGGGTGATCAAAGGGTTAACTGTGTGCCGTTTTACATAGTGTGCTGTGGGTGTGCTCTTCGCTGTAAGCACACTGCTTTGTAAGGCTGTGCTATGCAGAGCCATGCAAAGCAGTGTGCAGGAGCTGACAAGGGAGAGAACTTTACTGTTTACAAACAGTATTCCCCCCGTCGGAGATGCTCGGCAATCACCGGGTGCCATCGAGTAATGACCGGCTGGGACCTGGTGATTGACAGCCGAGGCCGCGAACGGTGGTGCGGGTAGGACACGAACACACCTTGTGTGCACTCCCTACCTGGAACTGCAAAATCACATATACATACGTGATTTTGCGCATCCATGCCACCTTGTAGCAGTAGTTCTGCTATAGCTATAGGGCGGACGGGAAACGGTTAAAGGGAAACTTCAGTTTTAGTCCTTTAAAGAGGTTACCTCCTCGGTAAGCCATATGCCTAAATACTTACCTGTAGACCCACCTGAGAAATCTTCCCTGTATGGCCCTGCACGGTACCATGCAACCGTCTATGGCTGGGGTCATACTTTTCTGGATGGCTGTGTCGTTCAGGCTGATGAATGAACTATAGGGAGCGCATGGGCAGTAGGCACATGGCTCATTCTGGTCTTGTTTCCAGCATGACTGTGTGGCCCTGGCCAGGGATGCACAGTGAAGATCTCAAGAGCAGGGCTAAAGGTAAGAATTTAGGTATGTGACTTGTTTGTACTGGGTGGAAGGAACCTTTAAAGGAGAAGTACTTCTCTTGTGGATCACAGGATTGCATTTCGTTTTGCCCTCCTGTGACCCGTTTTCACCCGACAGCAGGCTGAAGCCCCCTGTCGGCTGACATCACCCAGCCGGTCCAGGCTGGGGAAAGATCCCGACTTCAAAGTAGGAATCCACCCCAGAATCTTGAGCGGCACATGACTCGGCCTCTCAGCGAGCCGCTGAGAGCCTGAGCCAGCCACTCCATCCACAGCCCAACACTCCAGTGAGCGCTGGGGAGTGCTGAGCAGAGAGTGCCGCATCCACCTAGGTAAGTATAAATGGGGAAAAAAAAGAAAGTCCACACTTCTCTTTTAAAGGACAACTTTGCTAAAAAGTAAAGTTGTTATTTAGGAAGCCTAAGATAAACGTCAAAAGTACAGTAAGCCATATAAATCATTAAAAATATTTTTACTCATCTCACAGTAAACTGAAATCGGAGGGGCTACTATTGTTTATTGCAGTTTTCACATTATCATCACTTTTTGCACACCTTATAAGCCTTAAAATACACATGTATGGTGCTCTGGAGTAAAAAGAGAGAGAGAAAATAATTTTTTTTCATTTTTCATTGCATTGCAATATTTTTTACCCCTTTCAGGCAGCTAGAGATAAATGCAGTTCTGGTACCCTGATGCTTTAGACTACTAATAGCAGGATCTCAAATTGCACACACCCACTAATCATTCATTCAGAGGAAGGGTACAATTATCCTATGAGAGTGGTTGTCATTTAGATCTGTAGTAGAACATTTTGATAGTTGCTTATACCTTTTGATATTGAGACAGATTAAGGCTCGGTTCACACTACTGCGACCTGAAAGTTACGTGATTTATGGTACGACTTTGCCAGGCGACTTCCTGGCGATTTGCTAGTGACTTGATGCAACTTGAGTATGACTTAGATGCGACTTGATGTGCAACATTCATGCCATGTGACTTTGCCTGTGTAATCTTCCTGTAATGTCAGATCCAAATCACATCAATATAGATGAGGATCCGACTTTAAGGCAACTTCCATTAAATTCTATGGGCACATGTCAGATAGAAATCGCCTTGAAGTAGTACAGGAACCTTTTCTAAAGTTGGAGCGACTTCAGTAGTGCTAATTAGGACAGCTCTCACTGACTAACATGGCATTTCACATGTCATGTGACTTGGGGTAGCACAAGTCGGATCCCAAGTCGCAGCAGTGTGAACCGAGCGTCAACCGTTTTATTTAGTTAAAATGTAAAATTTACCTTTTTAATTGTGATTAGTCCCAATAAATTGTGTGCATTACTTTACGACGTATGTCTGGATGGTGGTTGGGGATGATAAAAATGTTAGTTTTATTTCTGCCAGATAGTATTCTGACACCACTCAGACTGCAGTTCTTTCTTATGTACAGTGAAGAAGAGAATTTCTCACTCTCTTCTTCCTCCCTCCTTATCCATTCACACGATGCCTTGTATTCTTTTCACTGAATATAAGGTGTTCTGTGAATGAAGGGAGAGAAATAAACAAATAAACCTAACATTTTTAGCATCCCCAGCTAGCAGCCATCCAGACAGCAAAGTATTACACATAATTTTTCTGGACCAATCACAATTAAAGTCGTTTTTCCCAAAGTTCCATTTTAAGGGGTAAGTTTATTCAAAGCTTATACCTCAGTTTTTGGTAGATGTAAGGATGAACCACCGAATGGTGCCTTCCCTTCTTAATTTCTCACTCCAATTATAAAAATTAGACCTTTGATCCCTCTGTGGCAGTTGGGTTTTGAATTTTTTTGTAAAATGTAGTAGAAGAAACAAGATTTTGAAGAGGGTAGGGTGTGGAAACTGATCTGGTATCTGTGCTGGGGAGATCTTGTAGATTAATTCTGTATAGAAAACCAGCAAGGAGGCCTGGCCCACCCAAATCCACCTGTAAATGAAAGGTATCTTTTAGGTGGACTGGCCAAATGTTTCCTTCAAATATTATGATCCACTAGGTGCATATTTTCAGATAAATGAATGGGGTATACTATTTAATCCAGAGGGGTAGATCTGCTTCAGAATCCACAAAGATATCCTACTTTATAATCCTTTTATAAGGTAGCCATAGATTAAAACCTGTCAGACACTCTATAGGAAAGATTTATTTACATTGGTGCACTCAGAATCTGGTGCAACTGGCATGATAGCCAATCAGCTTCTAATTTCAGCTTGTTCAATTAAGCTTTGACAATAAAACCTGGAAGCTGATTGGTTTCTAATCAGAGCAGCACTAGATTTTGCATCATGCAGTTTTAGTAAATAACCCCAAATGGGGGAGATTTTCTAAAACTAGAGCGCACAGAATCTGGTGCAATTGTGTATTGTAGCCAATCAGCTTCTAACTTCAGCTTGTTCAATTAAGCTTTGAAAATAAAACCTGGAAGTTTATTGGTTACTATGCACAACTGCACCAGAGTCAATGTGCTCTGCTTTAGTAAATCTTGCCCAGTCTGATGATATAATGGTTATCGATACAATTATAATAGCATGAAGAGGTGTGAAATGTTGTAAACTAAGTACATCCATTCTTTTTTTACTGTTTATAAAAGGCTTGTGTGTTTCCACCCTTTGGTTGCACAGGAAAAATACTTCCTTTACAAGTAACTGCACAGATAGATGCTGTGAAATAGTATATAAAGTAAGATTTTAAACTATTTCTGCATAGTTCGGAGAATATAGCAGCAAATATAGTTGGTTGCCATGTGTTCCAGCACATTTTGGACAGTTACTTTTTTACTTGATGTTCTTACTTCCCTTTGCATCTTCAGCATGTGGCGCATGGTTCTGTGGTTTCTTGATCCTCTGCTTGGCTGTAGCTTTTGCTTGTTACTGCTGATTTTGGCTATTTTTGCCTGTCATCCTATGTTGCATAGCTACAGATCTTAGTGAATTGTAATTATTGACTGCAGCATCCTCTCCAGGGAGGAGACTAGCGAAGAAGACAGTTTTGGTGAACCGGAAGACATAGGACTCATTGGGATACTCAGAGAATGGGGACAGCAAGTGAAGCCAGACAAAATTGTTAGAGAAAAAGAAGAAGGTAGAAAGGATACAGTATGGATGCCATGGACTGAGCCATCTCCTGAAGAAAATATTACTCTGATTAGTGATTCCCATGGTGTACAAGCTCAAGAGAAAAGGGAAGAATGTACAGATTTACCTGACATTCAATATATAAAAGCATCCACTGCAGACACTTCGGTTACTTCTTTTAATGCCAGTGATACTCTAGATTATGGCAGTTGGCATGCAGCAGAACCTAATATTCAACTTCTAACTGCCACTCCACAGCAAATTCCAGCACCTTCACAGATCTTCTCTAGGAATGAAGAACCATTACAGCCCGATACAATACCAAAGAGCCTCACTAAACTATCAAAACAAGAAAAAGGAGAATCCAGGGATAACGTTACTGCTCAGACAGAACAGCAACAATTGTGCGGTGTTTATGACGCCAAGGATTTAAATACAGATGGTGTGAATATACTGACAGGCAGTAAGGGCAACCTAATTCCTTCTTCAACAACCGTTGGAAATTCAGAGGGCAATAAAGACAAACTTGGAACTACACTTGAACCAGATAGCTTGCTCTATAGTGGAGTGATCCCGGTAGTTCAGGTGTTTGACCAAAGTCCACTAGAGGTAGAGCAAAGTTCAACTGACAGTAATCCTGTTACATCATTGCTTAATCAACAGTATCAGACTGCAGAAACAGAAGGACCGTTGGCACAGATGGGTAAAATAACATCTGAACACAATTTTCCTGGCATACAATCAGAAGATTTCAGTAGTGACACTAAGAGATGTCCTGATGACTTAAACAATAAGGCTGATCAAACAGAGAAGAATTTAACTGAGAACATTCAATCTGAGATTAAAAATGACTGAAAGAAATTCCCAGAATAGATTGTGTGGATTTTAGCAGCAACAATGTAAAATATGGTGGATCTAACATTGAATCAAAGGTAGATAAATTGAAAGTCATTGAAAATACAAAATCTTCAGATTTTTTCGGCCCAACGAGTAGCCAATTTCTAATGGAGTATGAGGGATCCAAATCTCCCAATGCAGCTAATAGTACCACAGCTACATTATGTAACATAAACAGAGACCCAGGCCTCCAGATTAATATTGTGCCTCCCATGGACTCCGTCAGTGACAAACACAATATAATCCTGAGTGACCACGGTGGCTTTGGGAAAAGTCAGCCTTGCCAGGAAATTTTCTCTGCACCTGACAATAAGATACTCCCCTTAGAAAATGTAGATGCTTTGCAGAAACCTTTAACAGGCGACCAAGATAAAGTAATTAATCAAGCATATGATATGGCACAAATGACAAAGGACAATAAACTACAGAGCTGTATAAACAACTTACTTTTGGAAGATGTGCCAACTTTTTCTCTCAATACATTGGAATTACATCTGGCAGAGCCATGCCCAGACCTACAAGATGAAATTCCAAAAAAATCACAATATGCCCATTACAAAGTGCTCACAGATCAGTCAGCCAGTGAGGCCAAAGTAACTCCAATTCAGGATGAGAAGATAGTTGATCAGAACGGAGTTGAGTTTCAACTTTCGAGCCTTAGTGGGAATAAACATAGCAACACAAGCACTGAACAAGTTTCAGTAACAGGGGAAGATGGTTTTATCTGGAATGTTGAAAATTATACACAGAGTAATGCCAGTGAAAAGCCTGAAAGTGAGAGTGTAAGTTCAGCCACCCATTTTAGAAAAGCTGCAGAGTCTGATATAGAAACCACTTATTTATCAGTTTTCTGTGTGTCCTGATGATATGGGATACTCCCCATCCACCCAGGTTTCACAAGATGTACCAGCACAGCCTTTAAATACACTTGAATTATTTCCTAAAGAAGAGGTATGTCTTCTTCCTCCACAGGCAGACCTTTATCCGCCGTTCTGTAAAACTGGGCCTGCTATGGACTATACGTATATGGTATGTCCAGAGAATGAACAGGAAAACTCACTGAATCAAAGCAGCAAGATTCTATCTACTGAAACCATGACAGTGGCTAGACAAGACCAACGTGGGCTTGACATGTCTGTAAATCCTTCACATCAAAGTCAAAGCCACGACATTGATTGTAAACTACAGTCGCTTCTCCTGCCTGATGTGGAGAGACATAACCTCAAGCCAGATCACACCTTGAGAGATTCGTCCAAAGTTCAACTACTAGAGAACGCCTCTGCATTTACAGAGGAAGATATTAAGGAAGTCAATGAAAAGCCAAACCTGGAGAGCAGGTCTACAAAGAGTGAGGACGTTCCCTCTCCTATATTAAGCCAAAAAGAAATAGCATCTTCAAAGGACACACCCTGCCTGATCTCCGACATACTGCCCTGTCTTGATGTAACAGGATCACTGTTAGAGGATAGAGTGCTTACTTCCAGAACACTGGACTTTCCTATAGCATGTATTTCAGCCTCTCCAATCACAAATAATGAAATAGACAAGACTCTCACTACCGCTGGTGAAAAAGATTCTGCAGGACTGCAGGGCAGTAAAGGTCTGCTATCTACTGAGCTACATGTCATTAATTATGTGACAGAGGAAAATCACTCACCAGGATCCAAGACTGAAGGTCAACGAATGGAAAATGTGGAGCTGTCTGCAGGTACGAATAAAGAATATAATGGGATTCCCAGAGCTCATTTCGGAATATCAAGAGATACTGGGATTCCTATGGCCCATTTCAGAACACCAGAAGATGCATCTAACCAGCTTCAAATGCCACATGATACAGGCATCCCTATGAAAATGTCATGGAGCAACAATAACATCCTTGTGGATGATACTAATGTAACAGCAAGCGTTCCTTATCAGGATGTGTTTAAAAAGACAGATGAAGAAACACCTGCTCCTAGTGTAGCCATGGAATCTGAAGCCATCCAAATTCCTGCACTGGAAGCACAAGGCAAGAGCTTCCTCCCACAACAGGAAATGTCAAGTGTTCCTCTTCCTCCAAGTGATAATAAACAGAATGAAAGTACTGTCATTTGTCAAGAGGGTTCAACAAAGGTATGTACTGAACTTAAAGAGGAGTCTGTAAAACCCAGCAATGATTATATTCACATGGACAATTCTACTGAAGTAATACCATGTCCTCTATATCAGGATGGGGTTGACAAGACAGTTACACCTGTTTCTGATTTTGCCTCAACATCAAAAGTTATGCTTATTTCAACACTGGATGTGTCAGACAAGACCTTCCAGTCAAACCAGGAAATGTCACCTGTTCCTCTTCCTCCAAGTGATAATGGAGAGAATGCAACTCTAGACATTCATGCAAAGGATCCAATAAAGGTATGTGCCAAAATCAATATGGAGTTATCAAACAATGATGGTGTTCATGTAGACAGCACTAATGATGTAGTAGCAAGTCCTTTATATCAGGATGAGTATATTAAGACAGGTGAAGAAACAGTTATTTCTGGTTTAGCCTTAGAATCTGAAGTCATACAAACTACCACATTATTAACACCAGAGAACAACTACAAGTCACAACAGGTAATGCAACCTGTTCTTCCTGTTATTGACAATACACAAGCTGTAACCCCTATAACATCCATATGTCCAGAGAGTAATACAAAGATATGTGCTGAACTTCAGATAGATGGCATAGATAACGCTTCTAGTAAAGATGTAGTTGTACAAAATCTCCAAATGACAAATAATGACCAATTACAGGAACTGTCTGTAAGCAGTACTGTCTCCATTGACATTATATCCTTGATTGACAATTCAGAAATGTCAGCACAAAGTAATAATACATTTAAGCTTGTGCCACTGCTTGGTGATATTGAGCAATGTTCCAGGGAAGAAATTGTGGGAACGTTTAGCTACCTTGATCAGGCTAAGGAAATATTGAATGATGAAAGAAGCTCAGTAGGGGAGAGTCAGCAAAACTTAGAAATATCTGTGGATGGAGATCAGTCCTCCAGTTTATTTCCTGTGCTGACAGACGTGCCTACAGAAGGATCACAGCCTGCAAATACAGACTTATTTAAACCAATGGAGAGCCAGGAATATCCCACAGGTGAAATTAATATGAACTTGGAAAGATCTAAAGCAGCATATCCATTAGTTTATGATGACCAGAAAGATGGTCTACAAAATTCTAAGATAGATGGCAGAATCTCAGAAGTGTCTGAGGATAAGTCCTATGCAGAGCCTGTTAAGTCAAAGAGCGTACTTTCAGAAAGCTCCCATGCACATAGTGTTAAACCAGAGGAAGCACTTAATAGCCAGCATTACAATACTCCTGAGGAAATACACCCTCAAGAAAAACATCCTGAGATGAGATTTGAAGGTATGCTTCATATCAGACCTGATGAAGAAGGAACTATCATCAGCTCAGCAAAGCAGCCTACAAGCATTCACACAGATGATATAGATAGGTTCTCAGCAAACAAAGGTGAAGCACCAGGTGTAACTGCATTAGAAGATACTTTATCTATCATGAATGACTTACCTTCCCAAGTAAACCATGAATTGGATGTAGTGTCTAACAATCAGTGTCTCAGCATGCAATACTCAACACTTGCTACTCTACAGCAAACAGTCAATGGTGGAGAGTTGGAATTATCTTTAGGGCAATCAATCAAGCCAGCCTTAGAGGTGGAAAATTCTCATTCTGAACAAGACAAAACATGTGAAAGTACAAGAGCATTAACCTTACCCTCTGATGTCCAATGTCAAAATGAAATAACCCCAGAAGCTCCATGTCTTCTTCCCGAAAAGAAAGATGAAAACTTTGTGGATTCAACAGTTAGTCCTCAAATCAGTGATGCTTTTGTTTCCGCTGATCAAACACAAGAACTTCATGAAAACGATCTTAAAAATACTGATGCTGTAGCAGAAGGCTGTCATTCAGCTGTCACAGGAATAGACAATATGCTTGAGGTTAAAGAGACAGCAATAATTTCCGATGACTTAGATTCAATACAAAAGGAGATGGAAATTCTATCTGACTTGCCATGTTCTGCTGTCAAGGAGACAGAAATTCTATCTGATGAGCCACTTTTAACTGAAAATAACACAAATAATGCATCTCAGCAGATAAGCCCTCCTTTTGATGACTCAACAACTTCAGCATTGGCTGTGACTCCCATGGAGATAATTAGCATGCAAGAAAAAAATAACGTACATGAACCATGTGGCTCTTCAGTTGCAGAAACAAAATTTATACAGGCTAAACCTGAACCTAAGGAATTGTTAACATATAGCATAGATATTGAAAACAAGCAGAATTCTTCCATGGTGCCTGTTCCGTCAGCAGCTCCTAATACAGATACAGCAAAAAGTGGACTTGCTTCTGCAAGTTCTTCCCAAGAGACGCTACTAGCTGAGCCAGCACCTTCTTTGCCAGCAATCAGAAGCCCAACTTTTCCACCAGCTGACTCTTTGAGCTTTACTCAGAAGCTGCGAAGTGTTCTTCACTCTGAGAGGTCGTTCCCCAAAAAGACAATGACACCAACATCTTGTGAGCCTCTAGTTCTTCCCTCAAGTCCAAGGTTGGGCAAAAAAGGAGCAGCCAATGAAAGGTACTGTCTTGTTTTATATATTTTATATATATAAATATTAGATAGAAAAAAGTGTCTTCACTGGGCTTATCAATCAGTCTCATCATTTGTTTTTGCTAGCTGCACCAGAAGAAAGAGCTACAGACTTTGTAAGGCAGTGATGATGTGCATAGTAACCCATAGAAATGTGTTTTTACTTGAAACAAAGACATGATTGGTTGCTCTAAGGTTATTGCACTTGTTATACCTTTGTGGTTTGCAGGGCTTTACTGAATAATAAAATTGCTAGAGTCAGATTGGTTACTATGATCACAAAACACACACAGATATAGATTGCTGTTTTGTAAATGTTTTAGTTCCGAAAGGGTTATAAGAATTTTGAGTAACCAGAACATACAGGTAGTAAGCAGACTGTTTCATATTACTGATAACAATTGGGTATTGCATATTTTAGATGATCAAAGTGGTCCTTCACCCATGAATGTGACTTCGTCTCCTCTGCCTCCTGTGTTCCTCTGTTCGGGCATCCTGACATCTGCTGGTGCTGGTTGTCAGAATATAATAGCCACAGTGGGAGTTTTGTCAATCCATGCTGAATGGTCCAATGCTGAATGGTCAGTTTTAGCACTTCTATCATTTGCAACAGCAACACATACAGAGATAAAAATGCTTTATAGAGTAGGGGAAGGCAAGAACTGTCATCAGTATTGCATTGCTGCCCGTGCCCCTGTCGCAGATTTTTCCCACAATACCCATCTTCTGAAACTGTTGTCATCATGATAGTGAGTGAATAAAGATGGCCATACATGGATTGAAATTTGGCCGGTTCAGCAGAGACTGGACAAATTTTGATTTATGTACGAGCAGGCTGATTGTACCCAAGTTGATCCATTGATTGACTTGGGTACAACCAGCCTATTGGATTTTTATTCATGTGATTACTGACAGTGGCTTTAGACACATGCAATAATCAATGCATTCTTCCGGCCGGGAAGGCTCCTTGTGCCCACCCACTGACAGAATACAATAGCACTGTGGTCAGTGTTGATGGGAGAATCAAGCAATTTCTTCCCTTCCACATATGG